ATAGAGGGTTGCTACGAATTGTCTTCTGTTTATGATCAAGGGCTTCTTCTCATTTACCAACCCTCCCACCACAGTCTGGTTCTGTTTTGGGGTTCCACCAGCCTCAAATATTCTCAAATATCTCCCTGAAAGTGCACCGTTCTGAGAAGAGCCTCCTAGAAGTATACACAAAAGTGTGCTTTCTTTTATAACTCCTTCACATTTTAAGTGTTTCTTCATATTTGTGATGACTTGCATATCTTGTTGGATTTTAATGATAATTATAATAACCCCAGTGAAGTCAGGAATTGTGTGCATATTTCCTGGTTTCTGTGTCTCCAATCTAGCATAATGCCTGCCACACAGGGAACATGATTAATAAATTATTTTCTATGGATGGATAGTCTAAAGGTGAGTGGCAGCCCACTGAATACTTAGGTGTTGAGCTTCAAGTATTACTAAGGGATGAGAAACCTGTTTTTGAATTGTCTTTTACAAATGGACATTCACCTCAAGGCACACACAGATACAAAATGAGCAAAAGATTATATTTTCATGTGTGTACATGGTAGACTTGAGGGAAGTTGATGGCTGAGGCAGGGGATGACAGTACTGAGGGAATATGTAAGTTAAAGGGATAGGTTTGATTCCCTCACCTGTAAAATGAGCTATTCAAACTAGATTATTTACTATGAGTGTAGGATTCATTGCAGTTATTAAAAGCCAGCCCTATAATGAGACTCACCCCTAGCTCTTTCCATTAGGTATGACAAAGATATATGAAGTCTAGTTCGGGTTTGTAGGGGTGTGTTAGGTGAGCGAGTGGTACTTTTTCTTTATGGATAAGCTCAGGGGTGGAGACCGCAAACATCTACCTCCAGTGGCCCAGCATCTCAAGCTGTGCATTGCTCAGTCCCCAGTGCCCAAGAAGCTGAGTACTTGTTCTGGAAATCAGCACACAAAAGTCCATGATTAAAGAAATGATACATCATCTTTATTAAATAAAGGCAAACCATTTACATAGATACAGTTACTTGTTTATTGCCCAGGAGTCACCTCATTTTCTCCATGTGACAATGGACAAGCTAAGCAGTGCTTCACAATGCCCTGTGATAACTTGGGCTTGCTGGTGAAATCCATGGCTTCCATCTGTTTCTGCCATAGCACATACTGGGGGAAATGAACCACCTCAGTTCACAAAGACGAAGAACTGTCGATCTTCAGTTAAAATATGCCAAGCCTTCCTCAAATCTCTTCTAACAATTAAACCAACTGTTACTCTTCAATACATGTGTCACTTTCTTTGCATTTGGGTCAAACTCCAACTGTGAAGATCCACTGAAGAAATAGAAAAATCCTGCATGTAAAGACAAGAGAAAATGTGAGCTACTTTCTTCTAAGTAAAAAATTGGGGAGATGAAAAATTCAGTAAGAGGTAAGTGGAAAACAGAGAGAATCAGGGATGTGACTCAGTGGTAGGGCACTTGCCTAGAGTGTCCAAAGTTGTATGTTCAAACCCTTGCTTAGAATGTTCAAATCCTTGATCCTCTGAGAAAACAACAATAAAACACCACAAAGTGTCTCTGTAGTCTTTAGTCTGTGCCAGGAACAATGTTAAGCATTTAACAAAACTACTAGTTTTAAAACTTTGGTTGGGAAAGAGCTTTGTGAAGTAAATCTATCTAATTCCATCTTTCTGGTAAACCAGTTGAAGTTTAGGCAGATGCAAATATTTGCCTCAGCGTATTTTCCAGGGACAGAAGGAGACAACACCGAGTCTGTGTTTCCAATTAGAAAAAAAAAATCCCTGCTTGTTTGAAACCATGATTTATTTTCTTTCTTCCCAGCCCTCCTTCTCCCCTTCATCATCTTCTAGCCCAAGGGCTATTTCTGGCCCTAGGGTAACTGATTTTTAATCACCATACCCTCTCTTTCTCTACAGATGTGGCACTTGGTGTCGGTAAGATCACCAGCTTACTCTTGCATAGGAAAAAATTTTCTTTTAAGCTTCGATGCATGGGCAGATGAGTATTTACAAGGAACCAGTGTTGTCTGTCATTTACCGAGTCAGGAAAGACAGAGAAAGTCTGACGCTGAGTAGTGGAAACAGATGGGGTGGAGAAGGCCAATTGGCCGTAAATCGGGTGCCACCACTGAGGGCAGCCTTGTAATAACATGGATCAAGTAAGGCAAGAGCTCACAATGTGAGGAGTGACTTGCCAGCACTTTGGTCTTCTATTTGTGCATAGGTTAGAAGAGTTAGTGTTAATCAGCTTCAAGAGTCAAAACCGTTCACCTGAAGGAGAACTGTAATTGCCCACAAAAGCAAAAGAGTTGAAAATCTTGGGAGAGCAGAAAGTACTGATTTTCAAAACTTTGTTATTAAAAATTATGTAATCCTCTTTTGTCTTCTCACACTACAGAGCATTCCAAGACCCATTGCCAACAGAGTAAGTGTCCCCTTACCAAATGCCTCAAAGCTTCGAGTCCACGCCTGGGAAGTCTGCAGCTATCTTCCTGGGATATCCGGGCTCCATGGATTGTTTCTTCTCGTCAAATCTGCACAAAATGAAAGAAGTACAGCTCAGCAGTGCATGGAGGGCATGCTTCCCAAACTTGTAAGCTTGTGGAACTCTAGTGACCTTCCCAAGTTCTGCACATAAATGTCAAGCTTATTTAGCACCATGTGTTTTTAATAAGGTAAAACTTAGCTCTTAAAACCATAGCTGCACTGGGAATGCAACAATCTCCTACTACAGCAATATGTTTTGCTACTGTTCTTCTGAAGCCTGGACAAGAGAACCTTCATCTCCTTTCAACCACAAGGGCATGAGCATGTGAATATGCAACCATGTATACACACATATGCCTGTAAGTGTACAAACAAGTGTATGTGTGGATTGAGATACTGGTCAGAAATACAATTACCATGGCTAGAGAGATGCCTCAGTGTTACCAGCACTTTTGCTGTTCTCTCCCTTGACTGGAGTTCATCTCACCATCCACAGTCAGGTGACTTCCAACTGCCTGTAACTACAGCACCAGGGGATCTGTGGATCCCCTCTTCTGGCTGCTGTGGCACCTGCATGCCTGTGTACACATTCTCACACAGATAAACCCTCATACATAGAAATGGGACATTTGGTGCTGGAGTGATGGTTCAGCTGTTAAGAGTACTGTCTACTTTTACAAAGGCCCCATGTTAGGTCCCCAGCATTCGTATGGTGACTCACAACCATCTGTAACTCCAGTTCTAGAGGAATTTTATGCATATTTCTACCTCCAAGAGCACTGGCTGAATGTGGTAATGTGGTGCACACATGAGCGCACGCGCGCGCGCGCGCGCGCGCGCGCACACACACACACACACACTGCTTGTATAATAAAATAATAAAACAAATTTTAAGAGTTGAATATTAAAAATGAAAAATACACTTTCCAGTTCACCACCATAAGTCAACTGTCTGTCTTTTCC